AGGCTCCCGCAGCTGCCGGCACAGCGTGTGCCATCGGCCCGGCTCTGCACCGACTGCCTTTCGCAGCATCTGCTTTAGCTGAAAGATTTTCAGGGGTTTTCTTTCTGCTTGCCGGCCGTGGCAGCAGGGGAGGCGGCTCCCTCGGGGGGGCTCAGGCGGCTCCAGCCCCTGGGAGCGTGTGGCCGGCGGGCACTGCACGCTGCCTGCGCAGGGGCTGCCTGCTCTGCCTGTATGGTATTTATTCTTTTTTTAAGGCAAAATGATTAAAATGAAGGGCAAAAGGGGTTTTCTAAGGGCCGTCAGACCTGGGTGCTGCTGGGGTTTGCACAAGGTGGCACCAACATCATCTTCATCACTTTTCCACCAGGCTGTGTCCTTGCCTGGAAAAATTGAGGCTGGGTCAGCTTTGGCACACGGGGACAGCAGCGCATGGATGGCAGCCCTGAGTGGGTGATGGGTGACAGACTGGCCATGACACCACCCTTACAGGCAGTCCACAGGGATGGAGAGGGTCTGGGGTGAAGGAGCTGATTTAGCCACTTTCCCCATGTGATCTGGAAGCTAAAAGCAGGAGGAAAGCCTTTATACTTGGTGGGATCTGCCAGCCAAAAGTTAGCCTGGACCTGCCCTATTTTTGGTAATGAGCCTCTGGAGAAATGGGGCATCCTTTTCTCCATGCATTTGGAAGTAGGGATGTAGCCAGTTATGCCCTATTTCTATGAGTGGGTCCGTGCTGTTTTGGCCAGTGACTTGGCATGGGTGCCAAGGTGGGTGACCAGTGCTTTGGACTCCCCGGGGCAATACCAAGGTTGGATATGGCTTCAACCCCCCCTGGCCCAGCCTTGGGCAGCTTCTGAGCATCCCGCCTCAACGTATGCTCCATCTCATTCCAAGGGCAGGTTTGGTGAGGCTGGAGCCACCTGCCGGAAGCACAATGATGCCTGAGGTCCCTGGGGAGGTCTTTCACAATTTTTTTTGCAGGAGAGAAACCCAGCCAGGTTCTCGCTGCCCTTGTGAGGGGTCCCGGGGCTGAAGCACCAGCTCCTTCTCGCTGTAGGGCTGAACCACTCCCACCTGGGTCTGCTCTCCCTGCTCCGGGGCTCGGGATATGCTCTGGGGGGGGATGCCCTGCACTAACTGCACTCTCCATCCCCTTTGCAGCCCACGCCAAGGGACCAGCCCCCAGCCCCGAGCCTGCCGAGCCCCCTGGCACCATCATGCTGCCCGTGAGCTACCGTCTGTCCAATACCCGCTTGGCTTTCTTTCTCAAGGAGGTGGGAGCCGGCCCGGTGGGCAATGGCAGTGCCCCACTGCAGCGCGCCGAGCCCTTCGTTGTCTTCCAGACCAAGGAGCTGCCTGTCCTCAACGTCACCCTGGGGCCCTTCAGCACAGGGCTGGTGCTGCCCAAAGAGCAGCTGCAGCCCTCCAGCACCCTGGAGGTCCCTGACCGCCTCACCGTCAACTGGAAGGTGCGCGCCTTCATCATCCAGCCCCGGCTGGTGGCCAACCAGCCCGTGGTCCAAGTGCTCTTCTATGTAGCCGGCCGGGATTGGGATGACTTTGACGTCACCGACCGGCTGCCCTGCGTGCGGCTCCACGCTTTCCGCGACGCCCGTGAGATCAAGAGCTCGTGTCGCCTGCGGGGCAGCCTGGCCACGTGCCTGGTGCAGGCAGAGCTGCCCCACGCCTGGTTCGGCCCCCCAGCCGTGCCACTGGGCAGGCGAAAGAGCCCTGAGAGCCTGGAGGTGCCAGGTGAGAGCCAACAAGCCGAGCTGTACTACACCCTGCATGCCCCCGATGGGGCCGGCCAGGGCCTTGCGGCGCC